GACCATCCAGATTTGATCCTGAGTCTCCCAGAACAGTGATGAACAATTAATGGCCTGTGAGGTCCTAAAATGTGGTCCCTGGGGGTTTAATAATGTGATGTTATTGTTTTCTCTCTCATGCCATTAATGCTGGCTCTCCACTTAGCATGATTTTGAGGTGATTCAATAACCTGTGTCACTACTGAAGCACAGTAAAATTGCTTTCCAGTTGGAATCGTCTTCAAGTACTTCGGCAACAGAGTACTGGGACAATGTATGTTTTTGTGTGGTAATTCTATTACAGCCAATTGGCATGCATCATTCATAATTCCAATGTACATGAGATCATATTTTTACCCATCATTCTTAGCACTACATACAATGTGATATGAAAATTTTGAAAAGGTGCAAAGAATAGCAAATATTACATTTTAAAAATTAAATTGAAAAATATAAAACTTTATTTTAAGTTGAAAGTTTTGCTGCTATTTTAAAAAATTCCCATAATTCATTGCAAATCACATTCCATTTCATACAAAGTGTGTAGTCACATAGGCAGCGATTGCATCATCTCTGGATCATCAGATGCTGGTTGACGTGGTGATGCTGGATCATGTTAAGTGGAGAGCCAGCATAAACTAATTTTAAATGTGTTTTTATAAAATTATATATATATTAGTTTTATTACAAATTATTTTCTAGGATAAACAATTGTGTTGGAGAATTTAATCAGAAATATTTCATTCAATTTTTGCTCTATGTTGGTAAGTATCTCATTTATTTTTAAGTTTTAAATTAAATTAAGATATTCTTCTATTTAATATAAATTTGTAGGAATTTATGCTTACAGTATTTATTTAAACTCCTGAATATCTTCAGAAACTAATTCTATAAATGAAGTACTAAAAACCATCCACACATCAGAAGTTCACACTAGACTAATAGAGATATTAACACTTATAAGTAGCTCTGTTTTGTTTGTAAATTATAAAGATAATAAAGACAAAAATTTGTTTTTCAATCAAATGTAAAGAATTTTTAAACAGAATCTAAAAAATGTTGCTTTATATGTTTAGATGCTGTAATTTATTTCAAGAATTTATTGAACTTTTTACATACACATCAGATTGAACCAACACCCATCAATGTCTGAATGGATAAAACCACTGAACACTGGTAGTTTGTCATGGATTTGTTCTTGACCAACAGGCTAGTTGCATGGAGTTTTCAAGGTTTTCTTCACATGTAACAAGTAAATAGGGTCAGTTTCTTATAGAAAGCCCTTCTCAAAGGTGCTCTCTTGACAGATCATCCATATGTTGCATTGTCTTATCCTATCAATCCTCTTATTATGAACATACATTTCTGTATAAAGTAAAATAATTGATAAATTTGGAAATTTTCTAATTAGAAGTAAAGTGTTTTCTAACATTAGTTACTTGTATCTTTTTTTTTTTATTTCTTAGAAACATTTCCAATAAGGTTATGTTCAGAAATGATGTCAAATATTTTATCAAAAAATAAAATATCTTTTGTGGAGAAACTGAAACATTCTACCATTTTCTATGATAATATAATGTTTGACATTTTCTGTAAAATTTATAGTAATCAATTCATTCATCGGTTATGAAGTTAGAAAAATTTATATATGTAGGTGTCTTTAATTTTTGTATGAATTGTTCTTTTGTACATAACATTTTGATACTTCCTCATAACATTTGTACATTTTTAGCTGACAAAACAAAAATTTTGAGTTATTGTGTGGTGGTATTTTCTTCTGGTTTTGACTTCAGTGATATCAAAACTGTTTGTGAAAATTAATTTCTGTTTTCTGTTTAATTTATGGGTTTTAAACAGTTTAAATAATTATGCATTATAATTATGGTTTCAACCTTTTAGATTCACATTTGAACAATTATGCAAATGTTGCAGCACACTTTTTATTATTAAATATTACAGGACTAGTCATCAGGTCAATCATGTAGTTCTTCCTAATTCCTTATCCATGATAGCTGGCTGGTACAAGCTATTGAAATATGATGATAATGTGTAGAAGTGCATTTTGTTGTTATTTTTTTTTACAAATTTGTCATTTTAATTTACTTAGAATGACATATTCACTGTAAAAAAATAACTTTACCTTAATAAGAGATTTTTATAACTTTTATTTCTAGCTCTATAGTGAACAAAACTCTTTCATAACTTAAAACTTTACTGCTTGACTTTCAGACATTTGATTTTGTATAAAGAAATATGCTGTCCAGAAGTGAGACTTCATGCTAATGTTATTAAGTATAGCAGTGTTGTAAGTGTAATCTCCAACATCAGATATATATTCTTATCTTAAGTATATACTTTCACTCTTCATTATGGAAATGTTATCATTAAGAATATAAGTTCTAGGAATGTTCTGAATCATAAAAGCAACTAAACAGCCTTTTTTTTTTTTAAATATTGTCAATTTTTTTATATCAAATTATTTTTGAGTATAACTTGATCAGATATTTTGCTTATTTTATTTATAAATATTTTTTCCTCAAACTTGTCTTCATTTCTAAAATCATATATGCAACATAGATATGCTAAATATTTCTAAAAGCCAGAAAATAATCCACCTTGTAGATATACAGCTGATTTGCCTTAAAACAAACACCAATAAAGCAAATTCTCATATTAAAGTGAATTTTGCCATTGTCACATTGTTAATTTTCATACAATAAACCGAACAAAAATTTTTCAGAATTTGTTAAATTGAACTGTAAATACTTTTACAACCTCAAGAAATAACTATTTCCAATAATAGTTGCTTTTTACACTTTTTCAAGTGAACAATAAGAAGTGGAAGTGTAATAAATGTTCCATTTTGAGAAGAATAAATTTTCTTCTCTTAGTAAGCAAAGATGGATTCAACCTTCTATTATAGAGCAATTCAAACATCTGGTTTTAGCAGACCATTTTATTGTATTCAGAAAATAGGGATTAAAGTTTAAGGATACCTACCCTTTTAAATGGATGCAGTCCTATGCAAACACATGCTAGTTTGCATATCGGTGAGTGCATATAATGATAAAAAAATGACTTTCTAGAACCATTAACCAATGCAAAGTACATCTAATCAATAAAATCAAACGTTTTCACAGCTCCTTCTGGGATCTTCATCAGGTTTTCTTAAGCTGGATCTTCTAGTTTCATTTGAGAATACTCATATAAAATTAGAATATAAAAATTTGCATATAAAATTCAATTATAAAATTGAACTGTAAGATGAAGAATTTGAAAAATGGAATTTCTGTGCATGTGTTCCCGTAATCATTTTTAAAAAAGATCAAAAATTAAATATCACTGTTCAGTAAAGCCTGCCATGCCATTGATGGAGGCATCTCTTTTCTAAAATTAATGCACATGGACCTGGAGTAGACCTTAAAAAATGTAGAAGGGTGTCATATCTCTCCACCACTTCAGTTTTGGTTTTCGTTAGTTTAATCTTATTTTAACTCTAAAATACTGTATTTTTTAAAATATTTAATATTTTCTTAAGTACAATAAGAAAAATTCATTAATTAATAATGAAACGATTTTATTATTTCTTCTCATAATACAAATTCATTACATCAATGATAATCACCAAATTGAAAAGGGAAGGTCGCCTGTAAAACTGATTTTTGCATTAATGTGTTTATTGTTTTTTGAATATTTTGTGTGCGAAAATTACTTGGATATTATTTTTATAAAAATATCGTGGAAATAAGGTAGGTTGATACAGAAACTATTTATTGCACATGTACCATATATGAGCTTAAATAAAATAAACAAATTTTATCAATGATGAGATCAACCAATTAATTGTATCATGTACAATATTTTATACCAATAAGAAAAATACTGTAGGTCTACAGTACAATAAATTTTGTTTTCCCACAGTTAAACTTTGCCGCTAATTGCCATTGTGTTAAACCATTTTCACTTTCTTTGATAACTAACACGATCTTCCAACAACAACACTTTGTATTTTTTCGTTTGCCGACATTTTCGAACAAACTGAAATGAATTTCCTTTGTAGCTAAACTAATTCGTTAAAACCTGCATCTAATTTCAAGATCGGGAGAAATGCCCGAGGTGGGTTCAAACAAGAGTTTAGACTAATTCATTATATTAGGAGAGGGAAACATTGTTGAGATGGGTTAGAACAATAGTTTAAACCAGATATATTCACAGAAGTGGTCTCTTATTACAGTTGTTGTATGTTGTTTCCAACCAAAAATCAATACCTGTGGTTGTGTTATACAGGTGGTTGTTTAATACATGTAACTTATATGAAGACTATGTATAAACTATTGCCTGCCAGAAGTTTTTGTTTGTTTTGACAGGTGCCTGTCGAATGCAGGTTTTACTGTATTGTCTTTTCAAATCCTCATTTTGTTTGATTTGAAAATCATTTAGAACATTAATTTGTTTTTGTAAATACATTTAACTTTATTTAATAAATTAATTCAAAATATTATAATTTAGACATTTTGATTGCCTGTTAAGCCTTAACTCCTTAAATTACTTAATCTTGATCTTGATCCTGAAAATTGTTAATGAGAGTTTTTGATAAAGCAAACTAACTACTATTTTTCTAAGGATTTGTATTAACATAAGTTGACTGTATCTGATTATTAAAACTTTGTATATTGTTGTTGTATATTTTATATCTTTTATATATTTTATTGTCATTATTATATATTAATACAGTAATACCCCAAACTTACGCGATAGGTGGGACCGAGCAATAACCGCGTAAGTCAGGGTATAATTTCGCAATTTGTGTAAAATCCAAGTTGGATGTATGCAAACTAAGAAATGTTCTCATAAATCTTATCTCGTCCTTTGATTCATTCACGGTTACAAGAAATCACCACATAGAGTCTCTCAAGTCTCCATAGATATAACAAATACAGAAATAAATAACACAAAATAAATTGTAGCTATGCATCGATTCTGCGCGACACGTCCAAACATAAGCTGAACAATAGTGTGGGAGGAGTGAGTAATCAAGGGTTGCGTGGCGCTCAAACAAAAGATGAATCAACGAGATTTGAAAATTGTGTAACTCCAGGTTTACGTAAGTCGGGGTAGCGTAAGTCGAGGTATTACTGTATAATGAAAAATTAGTTATTTTGCTATATTTGGTATAAAATACTTGTATTAAAAATTAATCATAAATTTTTATATTTACTTTTTGATAAATAATAGGTGTGGCCAGCATATATGCAATTGTAATTGTTGTGATATCATGGATAAAAGAGTGCAAAGACTGTAATTTAGATATAATCTTTAAACAACATAGAGTGTAAGTAGGAAAATCTAATTTTCATATATTTTAATTTTAATTTAATTTTTAACTTAAATAAATTAAATTTTAGGATCCATTCTGTTATTCTTCTTATTGAAAGCTTCCTATTTGGAATATTTGTTATAGCCATTATGTGTGATCAAGTAAGTTTTTTAGAATGTATAATTAACTGATTAACTTCAAAAAATCAAATAATTTCTTTTATTTCTTAATTAAGTTACAAGCTATCTTGACTGATGAGACAGCTGTTGAACAAATTCAAAAGAAAGGACCTCATCGTCCACGAAAACCAAAACTTGCACTTTTGAGCGAAGTATGTGGAAGAGGTTAGTAGAATTTTTTTCATTCACAAATATATTATTATAGTAAAATATTTAAGAATCAATAGATAAGATATAAAATCAAAAATAGTATCTTTTATGTAAATATGATTTGCAACTTTATTCAAGATTAGATATTTTTCTATTTGAGATCTGTTAGGCAGCAGCTGAAAAATTTAGCCTTTCATTTATTGAAAGTAATTTTGTTTTTGTTTTTACAAACAAAATAATTTGATTAATTTTGTTTTCATTACGTTGAAAATGATGATTAATTTCTATAGAAATAAAATAAAGTTCTAGTTTGGCTGTCTAAATGCTGAAAAAATTAATTTTAATCGTATATCTTATTATGTAAGAGAGATAAGATTTCCTTGCATGCTATGAGGTACTTTGTTAAATAACAACTCAAATAAGAATGTATTATGGCTTTATTGATTCTTAGTATGACCTATCTGAAGGAGATTACCAAACATTACTTATTCTATAGCAGACCCTAATTCCATAATGATAGAATGGAACTGAGCAAAAATGTTCCAAAAGATGCAGGATAAGGACGGATTAAATATGCAGAAGCATGGCACATTCATAAGGCTACAGAGAGAGGGGCAGGCAGTAAATTATAGAGAAAACATCATGGTTTCACCGAGGGGCGCCACTAGCAGTTTGAACGCCTGTGTGCAATACCGATTATGCCACCCCCTGTTTAACTACGATTACCTACGCTGAGCTTGCCAGAAAGGCTCTTTAGTGTTGTCTCAAGGGTTTGAAAAAAGAAAAAAATACTTTACAGAGAAAATCTATTTATTATTACTAAGTTATTTTTGTTTACTTAAGTGTAAAACCATATAAATATTTATCTATAGAAATTGAACTTCTCTTGCCTTTATGTTTGCGAAATCTGCTATCAATTTTCATGTATCCAAGCAGTCTAAGATTTCATGTTCAATTGAAAATATAGCTAAATTACTTAATCTTTGCTGGTGCGTTGTTGATCTTAAATAGTTTTTTTATAATTTTAACTTTGAAAAGGACCCTTCACCAAATGCAACTGAAACCGGCAATGTAAGTAATATTCTTAGTGCTATTGCTGTGTTCGGAAATGTTGAAATTAAGTCATTAGTAAAAAGATATTGTAATAAGGTTTGTGGATCATTAGACTGGTTTTCTGGAAAATGCAACTTTAAAGTATTGATTTCATTAAACAAATCAATACCGTCAATGTCTGTTTCACTACTTGAATCGTCTTTAAGCTTCAGATTTAAATCCTAACCAAGTTAAAATATCATTAATTATACTTAAACCCATGTCAGAAGAATTATTAACAAAATAATTGCAATTTGATATGCGATAGAACTGTTCGAATGCGTACAAGTACAAATTGAGAAGGATGCTCTGTTGGGATTCCATAATTTCTCCAGTCCTGTCAACTTCTGTAATAAAGCATGACTATGAGTACTTGGCTTTCGGGCACCGCCGGATGGTTCAACCTGCCTACACATGTTTCTCATTGCATCTTAATTCTGATAAATGCCAATAGAGGCGCTGTTAACACTATAATATAGGCTAAATAAGAATATTGTAATTGCACTCCAGTTGGATTTTTTTCTCTTTGCGAAGACATTTCTTATGCTATAAGTAGGGTGGGTATTGGGACAATGACTTTAAATATTACATGACCGATCGCTTGATTTGCCGCCCCCCTGGATGTGCCGCCCGCGTGCAGTGCACGCCTTGCATGCCCGCTTACGGTGGGCCTGGTTTCACCAGCCTGGAAAGTATTGATAAATAAAATCTAAAGATGAATGATGTAAGAGGATGCAAGTACGAGAATATAGATATGAAAAGTGTAATTCAGAACATTTCTAGGCATAGATCATTTCTCTTTTGGTAATAGGCATTTTATGTTTATTGATTTTGCCACATATCATGCAATATAGTATAATAAATAAAAATAAACAAGACACACGTTTTTTAAAAATTCATATTATTCCAAAAATAGAAGTTTATAAAAACCAGGGCTGTGGAGTCGGAGTCGTGGAGTTTTGATGTTTTGGCCGGAGTCGGAGTCGGATGGTAAGGAAAAGTCGGAGTTGGAGTCAGTAGATTTTTACGCGACTCCACAGCCCTGATAAAAACTGTGTTTGGAATATGGACAGCTTTTTTCTTTTTGTGATATCTTAAATTTTATGTATTTTCCTGAAGAAGGTCAATCAAAAGGATCAAAAACATTAGATGATTAGTAAATGTTAGTTACTGTGTATTTAATGGTTACATGTTTGTTATTGTGATAGTGCAGTTACAGAAAGGATTAAGGATTCAATAGTTTTATCAAAATAATTCAAAATTAAAATTAATATCAAATTAAATCAAAATTAATTGTATTTATCTTATCCACTTTTCATAATATTTTNGCATATTTCTTAAGCTAGGAAATTGATATATTTATACACATTTTATGTGACTCGGGTCGCGGGATGCCCATCCCTGACTTAGACTATGCCTACGACAACCAGTCGATCACGACACATTTTTAAGATAAAAAGTAGATCTTATGTACACAAAAGTTGGCCACCCCTGTTCTACAGCATTCGACATAAGTACATAAGTAGATTAATCAGGGGCATTTCATCATATATAAGTATTTCATTGGAAATAGATGCATTGACAATATCTACCAATACAAACTTTTTAAATAAAATAAACAAACACCTTTCTCTATTCCAGCACAACGTTTAATACATTAAAAATGTTTTTGACCGCTTTAAGCGATCTTCTTCAGTTCAAATTCAAACCATATAATGAACAAAGTATTCAAAATAATACAAAAATTCAAAGCGCTTATTCACAACTTAACATTACAGCGCATGCCCGTACTCATAAAATGAATAGATTAAACCAAAATAATTAAAAATAAACTAAAAATTATATATCAAGAAATATTATAAAAACAATTAAAAACGCCGCCTACGCAGTTGCAACAGTTAATCTACGTTATCATAAAAGGACTTCCGGCTGTTGATAAACCTTCAGCATCCCTGTGATTGATGCAGTGTGCGGTCATATGCGCCTTGTGTATCTCAACTTTTTCCAGGTGTTTCACCACTTGCATTGATCTTGTAGGTCTAATAATCGCTGCCTGATCACAGTATACTGCAATTCCTTGCTGCTTCGCAAATGCTGCAAGGACTGTGCTATCAACGCTTCTATTCACTGAGTATTTGTGCTCATCAATCGTTTTCTTCAGGTTCCGCATTTTTGCTCCTATATATATTAGGTCAAAGTTAAATCTATGGTCTTTCATAGGTATCGAGTAAACTCCTGTCATGATATTACGCTCATATCTTCTCTTATCGTTTCTTCAAAGCTTATACACCGTAGGATTACGCCTACAAATTATTTTTATATTCCTATTTCTGGCAACTTTCTTAATAAAGTGCTCTAAGTGCACTTTAAAATCATGCTCCATACTTCAAAACCAATTCAATTAAACTTATTTATAGATGTTCTTGAATTGTTTTGCAAGTCTACATAAATAATAATGCAAATAAACTTTAAAGACTTGCCTGAAACTTAACAGCAATATCTATAATTCATAAAGCCATAAAAGCATTAATATTTCCAACAATCTAAGTAACGTTTATTGCCTATTTGGTAAATGTTGTATGTTTTTTCGTGACTCAGGAATATTGAAAAACTATAACGTAAGAGTAATTTTTTCATAATATAGGCAAACTCAATATCTTTGACCCAAGACAGCATAATTCCTATCTCAAACTCCATATTTTATGAGTAACTGAGCACAAAAATTTGTCTGTCTGATGGTATAAATATTAATGTAAACAGTTATCATAATTCATTTAAAATTTTTAACAAATAGTAAAATTTTACCACTTATTTTTATACTAGGCAGTTCAACTTCTATATGGAATTTCAGTAATGGCAATGAAAATGAATATGTTACGTAGCCCCAATTTCTGTATCTTTCTCTAGGTACTCCTCCCTCCACACACACACACAGATATTTCTCTCACTTTTTGGCAATAATGGTATCCCTGCAAAATAAAAGTCTTTTGGCCAGTATAGATATCACTGCATGATGAACTCTCTGACTTCAGCATTTTGGGTGAAGTTCCTTCCAAGATTTGGGTGAAGCTCCTTCCAAGATACCTGTTTGGCCCTCTTTATTACAATTATTACCTGTTTGGCCCTCTGAAAGAAGGCCAAACAGGTAATTGGACAATGGCAGATCCAGACTATAGATGGGATAATCCAGAATTTCCTAATCAAGTCCATTGATCATCTCCACCATGCGCAGAGTCAAAACCAGCCAAAAAGACTTTCTATTATGCAGAAACACACCTCACTAAACCTCACTGGTGCCCAATGCCAAATTTCATAGGTAAATGTTCATTTACCCATTAAATCTCTGATGGCTGAAGGTGAAAGAACTATTCTATTCATAGCATGTGGAGGGAGTTACTTAAAAAAACAAACATAAATTGGACTGTGTATCATCTACTGTTCCATCACCATTACTGAAATTCTGGACAATGTTTAACCACCTTTGTATTAACATGCATGTGTTACAATTAAATTTTTAGTTTTCATGTTTGTAATGGAACAAGTTTCAAACATTTGTATTTCCAATCTAAGTTTAAAAGATATTCATGTTTTGAATTTTATTCTTTTTATGTTCTTTTGTAGTGTATCTATGCCCTAAATGCATTCAAAATGTTAAGTTATCATTTGACTATATAAATGTTTTACCTAAATTAAAAATCTCATGTTTGTATAATCTGTGCAGTAAGGTTAATATGATGATTTGTTCTCAACTGTTTATATGTGAATGTTATAATCTGAAAGTCTATAAAACTCAAATAACATTTGAGAAATCATGTCACAACATTTAATATATAAGTAATAATTTGCAGTAAGATTTTAAAAAAGCAGACATAAAAAGATACTATTGATTATAATGAATAAATAAGTATCAATTAGAACTATTTAATAAATAAGTTTATTTTAAAAATAAAAAAATTGTTTTAGTGTATAATTTAAGCTGAAACAAATTGTTATTCAACTTAATAACTGCTGTTTTAAAAAAAAATTGATAAAACTGCTCCTGCAGAATGATACAGAATTTAACTCAATCAAATCCATTGTGGCTTGTTTTAGGAACACAACTGTAACATGATCAAGGACAATGTAACCATAATTGTGTGTGTGTGTGTGTGTGTGTGTGTGTGTGTGTGTGTGTGTGTGTTAGTGCTGGCAAAAACTGGAAATTCTCAAAACTGGTTAAATATGTTATGAAGGGGATGGTAGTATTTGACCACTTTGGAGATGTCCCTTATATCCAAATTTGGGGTGTACTGCAAGTTGTTGATGTGTGTTTATATGGTCCTAGGACTTTGGACTGATACTCCAAGTGTTTTGATGTAGCAGAGCTCTTCCAGTCTGTCAAAAACATCAGAGCAGTGGGAGTGAACCTTCTAATCAGGGTTCTGATTAATAACAGATATGTTTATTTTGAAGATGAAAAATTTACTTCTTGAATATATTTAACAGGTTTATAATTAGGACTACCAAAAACAAATGTTTGCTAACTTTGGAGTAGTTAAGAGGCACTTTCTTTTAATCCTACAATACAACAGACTCAGTTGAGCCTTCAATGAGGCAGCTACATGGAGAGATTCAGCATAACCTGCACTGCCCATGAAAAATTATTGAAATACAATCTGAATAAATATCCCAATCCCCACAGTTGCAGACAAACAAACAGTTTTGTCACTTCAGTCAAACAATCAATGAAAAATAAAAAATGTACCTATTTTGTTTTTTATTTTCATAGTATTAAACAAACAGAATTAGTGTACTTTAATCATCGTAAAGAATACTCAAAATTAAAATGCTAACTAAAGAACTATTTAAAAGCAATATACATACTCTGTGTAAGATGCCATGACTGTGACAGTAAGCAACACCCTTTAGCAGCATCTGCATATAAGATTTAATTTGAGATTCCAACAGAGGATGGTCGGCATCCCTGAGCAAAACTGAGAGATCCGTTGGCATGTATTCAAAAACCAAAACAATGCCGGATCCATGAGGAAAGACATCTAATAACTCAACCACCTGAAAGATTAACAATAAATAGAAAAATATACATAGTGTAACAATAAAGTTCTTGGACTGATGTTATTACAGAAAATCCAACAGTGCCTCACTATGTATGGATGATTGTAAAATTAGTTAGTACATAATTTTATGATGAGGGAGAAAGTTTCAACATGTTTAGTATAGTAACTGGAGAGTATTGTAAGTTTATACATTTTGACATAATCTCAGATGTCATGATCAGATATGAAACAGTGAGTTTCAATTAAATTTTTTATTAATCTCAAAAATCAATCATCAAAATATGAACTATTGAAGATGCTTATGGAGATGTTGCTTTATCAAAAACATTTGAGGAAAGGAATGATTGAATAATGATGAAAGAAGTTGCTGTCCATCCCAAGAATATATAGAATGAGTGAATTTGCAGCTACCAGAAACTACCTATGCAGAAACTATCCATATGATCAAAAAACATTGGGAATGATTCAATAAAATGCAAGATTTCAATTTATTCATGAAAATTTATTTTGTCCCCTTTGAAGTAATCTCCTCCCACTGCAATGCATTTATGCCAACATTTATTCCAAAACATGCTTTAAGGTCATTTTCACAAAACTCCTTCAGGAGTCACAGAAAATTTTATTTTATGGCATTGGCTCAAAACAGTGAGCATGAATCAGAAATTTTAATCAAGGAAATGGGAAAAAAGTCACACTGTACCATATCAGATGAATATAGAGCTTGCAGAACCATATTTGTTGAATTTTTGGCCAAAAATTCACAAACAAGAACATTGTGAACAGGTCAATTATGATGCAAAATCCATAAGTGAAGCAATTCATAGAAAATGATCTGATTTGTGGCAATTTTTGCCACAAATCAGGTCATTTTCTATGAATTGCTTCATGAAGATGATGCAAAAAGCTCAAATATTATTCTTTATTGACAGTTTGGCCAGTCAGAAGGAATTTGTAACAATACCACAACAATTGAAGAATATAGTCAACATAACCTTAAACCTTGATTTTTTGACTGGCTTTGACATGGTGTTTTTGGTCTCGCTTCACCTTTTAAGTATCATTCACTTGATTGTTGAGCTGTTTCAGTGTCAAAAGCACAGATCCATGTTTCATTACTGGTAATGATGTGTTTTAAAACAATTCACCTCCAGAAAGCATTTCCTTGGCTACTCAAATATGTTGTTTTTTGGAAAAAATTCAATGTTTCGAGATGATTCAAGAAGCAATACATCACAAGCACAAGTGCTTTTAAAACTGCTTGACAAGATCCAAATAATACTGGAACATATTCAATAATGTTCCTAATTGTTAAATGATAATGATTGAGCACCAAATTTCTGACTCGAGTGACATATTGTTCATCAGTTTAAGGGATGGTTTACAATTTCTTTGCATTCCTTGAATTTTACCACTCAACTCTTGTTTTTGATAGAATTTCTTCACCAAAGGCTGTTTTCAACATTTCCAACATGTAACATTTCCATTGAAAAATAAAATTTAATGCATATTCTTTGCTCAATTACACTAGACATTTTGAAAAATTTCCAGTGCAACATTCTTTACACTCAAAACAAAGCATTTATGCAAATGAAAATAGACAATGGTGTACAGATTGCTGTTAGATATCAATGTGCTGTGGTGGTATATAACAAGTACAACAGGTCCATCTTCCAAGCTAATTACAAACTCAAAGAACACTGCTCAAATAACCAGGCAGAGAGCCTGGCCATTCTCAGGGCTCTCCATTATATAAAAGACAACCCAAGACTACACGATAAGATAATCAATATATTTAGTGACAGCAAAACAGCACTTGCTCAGTTCAAACGATTATGAACAAGATTGTATATTGTTCAAGAATCCAGCAACCTTCTCAAAACACTACAAAGAAAAGGAACAATGATTTACTTTCACTGGGTTAAGGGGCATTCACGAGTTAGCGGAAATGAGCAGGCAGACCTGGTGGCGAAAAGGGCTGCAAGGTGTAACATGCCCACCTCGCTAAGCACTCTTCTGACAAGCCTCATTAAAACCAAGTTAAACAACACCATAATGCAAATGTGGCAATGCCAGTGGGAATCAGAGGATATGGGCCGACACGCCTTCGAGTTTCTACCGAGTGTTATGGCAGACAAACTAAGAAATTCTACCAGCCCAACTTTACCACCTCACAATTCATAATAGGACATGGAAACTTTTGAACATATCTGAAACGATTTCTTAATAAAGAGGACGCAAAATGCCTCTGCTCTATGGATGAGGACCAAAATGCAAAGCACGTAATTTTCTTGTGTCCAAAATATAAAGTAGAAAGAAGGCTTCTGGCAGGCACCCTGGCTGACGTTGGCTTTCACTGGCATTACCAGATTAAAGATTTCCTTACCAATCATAGGACCCTCCAGACTTTCAAAACATTCATCAGGGCAACAGACATCTTGAAGTACGCTAGGTAAGCGACCCTCCTGGTAACAATCAACTCAGGCTTGTCATTTAGGAAGGTCTGCTCTGGGAGTATGTGTCTCTGGCTGCCCCTAATTTTGTCTGTGTATCACAACATTGCAAGGTAGGCTTGTAATGTTGCACAGGCATAAATTGTGGCACTGTTCTTTGTTTTAAGATGGTTGGTGTCTTAACCACCCTTTGTTCCTTCAGGTCCAGTGGTGTGCTACGAATGTCATTGTCTCTGGTCCCTTTATGGAAGAATTTGTCGCTCGCATTTTTGTACCCTCCAAAGCCATGGAGGTTCTCTCCCCCTTTATAAGGGGATGTATATACACGTTAGTTCGTGTGCAGATCCTTTGACAAGATAGTCGTTAAGGGCCATTTCGCCCAGTTTGGAGCTGTTTTTTGTATAAACGATTGTTTTCTTTTGTTCCCACCAAAGGCATGGGGGATTTGTCTGTCTTTTACCCTAAGGGGTTGTTTACATTCACGCATATGTGTGTTTGCGGATCCTTTGGCAAATTAGCTGTTAGGGCCTTTGCATCCAGTTACTGGCTGTTTTTTGTTCAAATGGTTGTTCTCTTTTGTTCCCTCTCATGGCATGGAGGATTTGTCTATGCCCCCATTCGGGTTGTACATTCGCACGTAATTGTTTGTTGAGCTCCAAGGCAAGTCAGCCATAATGGGGCTCCTACTGCCTTAAAACAGAGGTAGTTATATTATACCTTGTATACCACTGTATTTTGGCTATTTGTACTTTTTTTTTTGTGTTTAATAAATGGCATTCAGCAGGTGCTCTGAGATGTCATATTTCACTCTTTCCTATCTACCTTTCTCTTCTCTTCACTCTTCTCACTTCTACTATAACTCTTCATTCTACTAACTCTATCCTTTTCCAAGGCTATACCTATTGATGGTGGCCTTCTAATCCTTTAGTACAGCAGTCCCCAACCTTTTTATCACCGCAGACCAGTCAACATTTGATAACTTTACTGCGGCCCACTAAGGGGGGACGTTGATTGTTCATATTTTAGATTGATTTAATTTAATAATTTTAATTTAACTGTATTTAAACATGCCTTCAAAATAAAATACAGTTACACCAAAAAATGAATATAATGTGATTTAACATTTTAACTCATTAGAACGCTAAATCAATGAGAACCCTGAGCTTATTTCTTTGCAACGAGACAGTTCCATCTGGGGGTAATAGGAGACAATGACACCCAAAGTGTGTTTCTTATGTCCAATTTATTCCGTTGTTCCGTCGTCTATTAAAAGTTGCACAAATCCGAGACAAATACACCATAGTAAATAAAATGGAAATAATTTAATATTCCTTGGGCAACCCAGTACCATTTGATCCACGGTCCGGGTGTTGGGGACCACTGCTTTAGTAAATGTAAATGTAAATGTTAGATATCAGTGAAAGTCATACCAAACAAAGATAGTGCCCTCTTGCATGCACACAGTTAAAATGAACCATTCCTAATCCTTTTTGATAAGAGAAATATTAATTGTGACTGAATTTTAAGAGTTTAAATGCTCATGTAATTGACTGGGATCAACTGAGAGCACATAAATTAACACTCCTAAACTTTAACAGTCCAGTAGTAAACATTTAATAGAAAACAAACGTTTTTGACCATACTTTCGGTCTTCTTCAGGTTTAAAAAACTCCACTAATTATTAAATAAGTGGAGTTTTTAGATACCTTGTGACCTCTTACCATAACAGAGGATGTGTGCATTACCATCCTTGACTTTGTATCTCTATATTCCTCAATCAAAATACAACTGTGCTTCTGTGTGATTAGGGATATATTACTTAGTGAACCTGGTGCTTAGTGAACGTTTTAGAGCTGGTGCACATTCTATGTCACACTCCTTTTTCCACTTTAACAACAATACTTACTTACAAAAGTGTGGTGTATCTATGGGCAGCCTGCGCTCAGGGGATTTATGCGAGTTGGTGATAAGGCAGCTTGAAGGAAAGATCATACCATAGTGCGTTTCCAACATTCTCATATACAAGAGGTATGTAGATGACATCTTTATTCTATGGAAAATGGAACTGAACATAAACAATTTCATAAGTGCAATGAATGACAATCCTTATGGACTCACCATCAAATTGGATCAGAGCAATACTGCTGCACATTTCCTGGATATCCACCTTCAACTTGATGGCACTAGGGTGGTAACAAAAGTACATTACAAATCATGCTATAGGCCAGCGCTGTCCAACTTATCATAGTCCGCGGGCCATATTTTCTTTATCAAACATTTCGGGGGCCAAGAAGGTTGATAAACCACACGACATTTGCATAGTGCTACAGTTCAGTAAGCACTAATTGGTCAGCGAGTCCGATGTTGACGCTATAAAAAGGCGACAGTTCGACACACCGGATATACGTCACTCTCGTCTAAGTTCGACTTGGGAATTTTTTTGTTCAATAATAAATGTGAATTCTTCTTCCTGGAAAAAATAAGACATTCCCTGAAAATAAGACCTAGCGCATTTTTCAGAGCAAAAATTAATATAAGACACTCTTATTTTCGGGGAAACACGGTAGTAAAATAATTTTAATATTAATAATAATAATTTAGTAACAAATTTATTCATAGTAAAATGTACTCGAGGGCCGTAAAAATTATTTGGCGGGCCGCCAGTTGGACAGCGCTGCTATAGGCCATTGTTCATCCCAGACAACTCTGCGGACCCATACTCCTATAAGATCTTGGCATTCTGTACCCTAACAAAGCAGGCTTTTACACACTACACTAGATCTGAAAACACAGAGGCAGAGTTGAAACGCATTCAGAACATAGCAGTATAGCACTGATACAGCAAGAACCTGATACACAACCTTTCCCGCACATACTCCTCACGAATAGCCGCACGCGACATTTCTAATACACAAGTAGTGACCCACGGAACACACAACATAAATAGCACACAGTCTCGTGCAGTGGTTGAGTACAACCACCACCTCAACTCCGTTTACAAGGAGATTGCCGCCCATACTAATACTAAGATTGCATACAAGAGGCCCAGCACTGAATATGGGCTACTCCACAGTGGCAAAGACAAGATCAATAAAAAGCAAGCACTAGGTGTTTACATGGTTCCTCTCTGGGACAACAGGTTTCAAAGGGAATTAGTTTATATTGGGTCCACAAAATGCTCTTTGAATAAAAGATTGCAGGAACACAAATACGACATCGTTAATAAAAGGCACACCATCGCCCTATCAACGTATGCCACTGAACCCAGCATAAGAGCTGACCTACATGAGGCCAAACTGATCAAACTTTCTCAACGTGTGGAACACCTACAAAACCTGGAGGCACTTGAAATTTACAAAGCCGGTTTATGTACCAATTGCATTAACTCTAATGATGCTGTCAATGTGTCACATGCTTGGAAGTACTGCTATGAAGGAACGAGCAACACCCATACCAGCAATTAGAAGCCACACCCCCATTTGGTGTATTTATATAAGTGTATGTATTACATATACCATTCCATCGCCATGGCAATGCATATGCATAACTGTTTATTCTTTTAAAATCCATTTGTGCTGTTCCATTCTTTGAAAATAATTTCATAATTTTTGTTCTACGCATTCACTTGTTTGAATCTCACTGGTTTTTTAAACCTGAAGAAGACCGAAAGTATGGTCAAAAACGTTTGTTTGCTATTAAATGTTTACTACTGGACTTTTAAGGTTTAGGAGTGTTAATCAACTGAGAGATGTTGAGACTCATGTTAACTCAAGTCTTGGCAAGAGAAAAGTCTGTGCACATTTTGTTCCCCATTTGCTGATGGAAGATGAAAAATATCAGTATGCCGTGTTGTCTCAAGTATTCATCAACCTGGCTGATTCAGACAAAAATTTTTTGAAACTGAGTGTCACAAGAGATGAGACTTAGTGTTCCATGCAGCCATGTTTCAGAGTGTAACATGGTTGAGTCCAAAAAGACCAAAAGCACAGACTCAGAATGTAAAAATCATGTGTCAAAATAATGCTCATTGTTTTTCTCAATTTCAACAGAGCAATTTGCAAAGAACTTGTCCTGTGAGTAGAAAATATTACATTGGTATCTGAACAGGCTTCTGAAGTGCATTCATTAGGTGTAGGATCATACCAAGAAGTCATCTTGATTTCTGCTCCATAACAGTGCTCCAGTGCATTCATCAGCACTGGTCACACAGTTTTCACCAAAAAAAAAGTATTGTTGTGCTTCTACTTACTTCTTACTTGCTCAGGCAGACATTTTCCAATTTCCTAAGCTAAAATTAAAATCAAAAGGAGTATTTTTAATGATGTGCCATCATTCAAAACAGTGCAACAGAGGAACTGAAGACTATTCTGAGAAAAGACTTCTCAGCAAGCCTTATATCATGATATAGTTGTTGCAAAGCAGGCAAAGATAACAAAGATTATGTCTAAGGGCAACTATACAAAAATTTGTTTCTGTTACTAAAATAAAATCAGTTCAGGTACTTTATTGTCGCACTTTGTGTGTATTTATTAAAAGTTTAGAATCATTCAACTTACATTCTCATGTTGAATTTGTTGAAGAGTCTTGATTTCTCTATAAAGATATTTTTTTTAATCAAAACTGACGATCAAGAATCTCAGTAGAAGTTACTTCTGGGCAATTTGTATCTATATGTACATACAAATTGCCTAAAAGTAACTTCTACTAGAATTTCTATCTGTATTTAATGTTATATAATGTATAAAAATGTATTAACCTTATCACAACACACGAAATTCCATTTTCCAGTTTTTTAAATGGAACTACCTTCAATGCAACCACGGAACCATTAGCAATATGTCGGGCTTTCATAACAACACCGTGAGCTCCTTCACCGATACGACCCAACACGTTATAGCCGTTCATGAACGTTTACTACACGTGCTAAAAAAAAAAAAAACACGCTCCTAACATTAAACAAACTACTAAGCGCCACCTAACATGTTTAGTAGAACGTATTAATTAAAAAATTAATTTAAATTGAAATAAATTGTTTTAGTAATAAATCTTTTAAAAGAAATGTTTCTTTTAAGATAATTTGTTTAAATATAAGTCATTCTTTTCAACTGTTTATGGTGTATCTAACATAATTTTTTTTAATCTTTCTTCCACTTGTAGGGACTTGGAGAACCTTTTATTAAGCAAGCCCATTATAAGTTCGAGTAGGCCCACAATGGGGCAGCCGGGTGGTGAAGGATGAGACCTGGTATATTCGAATGGACCGGTGGCGTGCCGTGACATTTGATGATAGGGAAGCTGTGTTTCTATAAGAAGCCGACTTCCAGGGGCAATCAGTTAATTCTTTGAATGTATTTTTAATAGATTATTTATCTGACGTACTTAATAAATAAACAAGTTCAATATAATTACCTCTGTTATTAGATCCAATATATTCCATATGCCCTCTAAATGCCAATTCTTGCTTCGATAAAAACATATAACATCTATTTATTTAGATATAATATATCTATTAACCGTAACTATCTCGTTATAATTTTCAATATTTATTTTATATTATTTACTAATGTTAAATTCTATTCCGCTTCGATTTCCAAATTGCTTCAAATACGAAAGAATCTACGATTTTTCGTGTCTTTTGCCAGATAAATTGTCAAAGCCATTCTTATTCCACACACTAATTTCACTTGAAAATAGTAGGCCAGCCAACAATTTTTGCATTTTTATGCATTTACAGAGCCATTTTATCGTGAAAATGTCGAACAAATTTTTTTATTGAAGCGTTTATATTTAACTTAGGCATTGGCCTTTCTCTTTTAATAATGTTTTCTTTTTCATTATACGATCTTGAGCCAAAACTTTTTTAAAATAAATCTTCAATATCGCAATTACATTCCGAATCGCTAGCCACGATATAAAAACTAAAATTAAAAATAAAATTTTAAAAACTTACTCGGAAATAAAATGTGTGGTGGATATACATACCTGGTACAAAACATTCTTCAATTGTACGAATATACTTTGAAAGAAAATTATAATTAAATATAGCTTTGTAATGAAACGTACATAAAAATAACATAAAATATTCTTTACTCTTTAAATCTTAACCACTTAGTCAAATAGCTCCCTACGAGTGGAATCGGAGACGGTCCTGCTAGGTGTGCGGTGTGTACATGCACGCGGGCTGCCAAATCCCGAGGGTGCTCATACCGGTCAATGTCAAATGCCTGTTTATTCGCATCACTAATATACCTCAAAGGACGCGACAGGGTTGTTGTAGATTTTAAACGTTTCTCACCATAGCCGTAAAAATCTAAATATATTAAACTTAATAGACTGTCTGTTGTTTGTTTTCTAACTAATTCGTTTTAGGACCAGGTGTTGTCCGCGGAAATTTCCAAAATTTACAACTTTTCGGTCATTCTCGTTGAACTGGAAAAATTTCTGTCTTTGTAATAAAGACAGAAATTTAATATTTCTAATCTAATATTTCGAACAAATCAGTTCCCACTGTACTCGGCTATAGATTGGTTCGGTTAGGCTTTTGTTTAAGTAAAATTTCGGCTCTTTCATCAGGATTTTGTTTACGTCCCCAATTCCCTAATCGCTTAATTATTTAACTACTTCTTAAGTAGAAATAAGTCGAAACCGGTTACTTTGTACTCAAATATTTGTAGTCTCGGGAAAAAAGTGGAAAGACAAACTTTTATGACAAACGGATACATAAATCGTAAATTTAAGGAAAATAAATTCTAGAGCTATTTCTATACTTCGTGCATCTCTCTCATTTATTAAATTTAGTTGTAAATTATGCTACCAAAGTAACAGTTAATTTTTTAACATTATACAAGAATCGTACACGTTTTTTTCTACATCCCCTTAAAGATGGGACATACGAAATCGTAATATCGCCGGTTTAACATTGAAATCCGTGAGTAATATAAAATCGGAGAGCGGAATAAAAATATCAAATATTTTAACGGATTTTTTTAAACTCCCGTCAACTATACAGAAAACTATCATAAAAACATACAGGTAAATTCTTATCGGTTGAGTTAAGTTATAAATCTACTCGCGATTCGCGTAAACGGGCGAGGGAGGCCAAATATCTAGCGGGCGGGCGGCTAACAGCCCGGAACCGGTCCCGGATAGAATTGGATGCTGTATACGAGTAGCAGCCACCCAAGGTCGTAGGCTTCCACCGGCTAAACCGGGTGAGGTTGGTGCTCTGTAAAGCGCATGCGCGAATCTGGCTTTTTGGATGCTGACAATACAGCGTTTCCACTTCGCTACTCCGTCACTAATATTCGAATAGCGATCTTATCTTTTTTTTTCACGTGTGGTATAGAAATTTGTAATAAGATACATAATGCAGATATAATAAAATATTGTGCGATTATTTTCATATAATTAAAATTAATATGTATTTATTTTTTAGAAAATACAAGGGAAGCGGCGCATCCACCGTTTCTAATGACGGCACGCCACTGGGAAGGACAACCCCGGAAAAATTCCTCCGTATTCGATCCCGGGTTCGCAAAGCAACAGACTGTCACCTTAGCCGCTCGGCCATCCGACCGTCTATAATGTTATAACATGAAATTCTAGCTAAAAAGTCAATAAATCAACTAAATACCGCGTTACAAAATCAACAAATTAACTATAATTATGTCATATAACATAGTTATTAAGAGTTTGTTCATTTTACAAGTCGATGTTATATAAGGATTATATATGAGCAACCGTGTAGAATACCGATTCGCATCGCCACAGGCATAAAATACGCCTGAGGCGACTAAGGTTATTTTAAAATCTTATAACACGTTAGCCAATTAACAGACTGGATTGAAATGCAAGAGGGAGATTTTAAATATTCAGTCTCAAGTAAATCCTAAGATATCATTGAGAAAATGGACAAGAATGTTCTTATTTTTTTCAGAACCAATAGAGTCTATAGTTGGATAGTCAAATCAATGACGACACTACCTACCGATCTGGGTTCGAATTTGGATCGGCTCGGGCATTTTCTTGAGTAAGGTTGGCCGGATATGTCGAATTCTCTTTCCGATTACCCACTCCATTATGGGCCTAGTCAAAATTTCAATGAAAATGATAGAAGGCCCTCTTTGTACTCGCAGGATCAAAAGAATTTCAAATATACTGTATATATATTATAATAGTATTTTTAAAAGAGAATTTAGTGCCGCCTAGAATTTTTTATTGATTATTAACATAAATATTTATCTCGTTATTTAATGTTTTCATTTTAAGATTCTGAGAGACAAGGAAGAAAAGAGGAATTCGTCCCGAAAGTAGAATCGAACTCGGACTCTCCTGAAAAAATATGACACGCTTCGATACCACCACGTCAATTGTTACATTGTTTTAAAAAATCTGCATCAGTTATTGATAGATACGAATTTCGATATGAAAACCAGTTGATATAATGTCTGATTGTTGTTTCATGATTATTCTATAAGTTATCAATATTACACGATTATTTTATAAGTTACAATAATCTATATCATAAATACAAATATTATTGTTTTGTCTTGATGTCAAGTAGGCTTAATTCTTAAAATACAACATGGACTCGATACCAGATAGTATCAAAACTGGTTTTAAAGTAGCGTAATTTTATATTATTCTCTGTTATCACGCACAGGAAATTCATCAAGACTTTGCGTGCTCGAAATTTTCTATCTCTTGATACTTAGTTAAATTTATCATAAGTATTCTTATAAATATAAACATGACAGTGCCAAAACATGAAAACAAATTTTTTTTCGTTTATTCTAGCAAAATAATTCGTGTCCAAAATTCCTGGAATTCGGAGCAAAGCATGAATTCTAAATGAAATGCTGTAATTACTGTGTACGTTCTGCTTCAACATCGTTGCAAGTTTTAGGCCTTCCGGCCAACAATTAAGGAAATCAATAATTATTAATGATTTTAAATGGCATACATGAAAATAATCTCTGTGATGTCTGTTGGTCACGTTTTACGTTTCATTATCGTAGGAAGAGCATGGACAAATGAGTTTGATTTGCACGTAAGAAGGAATCGGATGTAATAATATATATAAATTTAATGTATTTTAAAGCAAAATTATCGGAAATATGATGCCAGTTTGATATAAAATGGAATCATATTTCCGATACAATACATACAATACATAAAAAACTATTCATTAAGCTGTTAATGAATAGCTTTGTATGCAAATAAGCTTAAGATGAATCTACGTTTTATTGATTTCGCTTGTAATTTTGAGATTTTATATGTATCTGAATGGTAAGATTGTGTTAAATTTTTCTACAGATGAACTGAAAATTTACTTTTAAGATAGGGCCAAATTTATACAAACTAAACAAGCTTCAGCTCATTGGATGATACAGTTTAGAATCTATAGTATATTTTATTTTTATCAAACTGATGAACTTGGGGTTTGTTTTGGAGGGACTTAATAGTATTAAAAGTTAACGTTTTAGCTAATTTTAGGTCTTCAGGTCACGGGACTAGGCAAGTGCCTCGTTTGCCTAAACCCCTAGGGCCTCAAGCTTTTAAATTTATTATTATTTGATGTAGGAAAGGGCTTCTTACACGTTATAGATTAGAGAGATTTAAGGAACTTAAGCTGGTGTTTTATATCTAACTACTCCAAAAATACCTTATTAAATTATGCAAATTTATGGTAAACAGTGGGTGCTCCACATGGAGCCACTCAAAAAATAAAAAATAAGAAAAATTTAGTATTTTTACACAATAAAAATTATCAAATTGTATTGATATGTTAATAAATTTATTAGGATATTCTAAAAATACTTTAAGCATTAAAATATAAATATTTAGGCATATCTTTTACGAATTTTTTCGGGTCGTTGAACATATTCGAATAGCGATCTTATCTTTTTTTTTCACGTGTAGTATAGAAATTTGTAATAAGATACATAATGCAGATATAATAAAATATTGTGCGATTATTTTCATATAATTAAAATTAATATGTATTTATTTTTTAGAAAATACAAGGGAAGCGGCGCATCCACAGCTTCTAAAATGCGTGTGAATACGACCGATGCGTACAAGCGCAATAACAGTTATTCCGGTGATCTGTTCTTTTGTACGAAGACTTGTAAGGGGGAATCAATTATCTGAATAATTGATTCCCCCTTATTTGCAGCTCCGCATTTCACAGAAAGACACGAGAATTATTTATTCAACATCCCACTTTCATCAACATTTTCATACCACTTACTCTTTTCTTCTGGCCTTTTGTCTCTTCCCTCTTAACACGCAATATCTTCTCATTCGTTCGGTTTCCTCCTTCAAAAACCATCCCCATTTTATTACCTGTTCACTCTCCTCACAGGACGTCGCCAAAGTTCTGAATCTGCAACTTCCGTTCAATGTTTTTTTTTTTAAACTTTTTTCGCCCTGTGGACACTAAGAGAGCCTCTTTTAGCAAGCCCATTATGGGTTCGGCCAGGGTGACAATGAGGCAGTCGGGTGGACCCGTATGGATTTGATCCCGAGTCCCCCAGAACTATAGGCTGCCACCTTCAATGGTCTACCGAAGATCGTAACGTTTAATGATTTATTATGGAAACGGTTAAATTACATTCCGAAGTGGATTAAAAGATAAAAAGAAATTATGAACTTGTTAACGCTTTACAATACTGGCATTTTCTTAGAAATCAATACAAACATTTGATAAAATCCGATGGTAGTTAGGAACACGATTATTATCTGTCGAATTATCGAACGAAAGTTAAGCACCGTTTTATCTAGGACACCTTGGAGAAGAGTTTCCCTCCAAAGGTTAGAAATTCCTCCAATAAAACAATCCAAGCAAGCATTCATAAAATTAACGAACTCATGTTTACGAGTACAGAATGTCCTGCAAAGCGGAGGCTTCAGAAATTGTGCCGTAGAGTGTTCAGGTCTTTTAGGAAACTAATGTTATACTGTTTACAAAACAATTAAAAATTTTTCCTTGTAGATGACCTCTGTCCTCTCTCCCCCGTTTAAGCCAAATCCCCCAGACCTTGGAATCTAGATAAAATGGTGAAGTTAAATATAATCTAAAACCTTTCAACAGATAACGTCGACATATTTGCTATTCTATTAATTATTTTAATCGAACCGCAACCACTTTCTCTCAAATTTTAAAAGTTTCCAGAGAAAGAACCTGTCTGAAGCGAAATAAGTTAAATTACGATATGCATTAACAAGGTAGTATTTGATTACATAATAGGAAACACGTTAAACACATGCTACTGTAAATCCCACGTTAGGATTTATAATACAAGAATATCGAATAAAACCTGAAATGTTTTAAAAATGAATTTATCAAAATTAAATACCAAANAATTTCTTTTAAAATATTTTAAATTTAGAAATTTTCTATGGATGTTTTTTGCTCTTTTTTCTGTTAAAAATATTCAAGTTTTAATATTAATTGTAATTTATTTATGTTAATTATTTATTTCTTTATTTACTTTTATGATATTTAATAACTTTTTATCGAAATTTTAAATTAAAAAAATATTTTTAAAAAATTAAAACAACTTAAATTGCAATTGAATTACGTCATTCCAGGCCAGTTACGTCATTATTTTCCAGAATATTCTATATATTTTGCGCACGGTATGCTAGATACTAAATTAACAATCATTGGTCGACAATCAGCCAATTACGCTTTGTCGACGCTTCCATTGACCGACGCTCCACCAATGGCAAATGTTTGCGGTCTAACGGATTTGCACACGGTTCCTAAGGTAGCGCGTGCTGAAATGATGTCACGGGGGGAATAAAAAGAGCGTTATTTTCTCCTCCAATCAAGATTTCCTCATTGGCGATAAAGGCGGAGAACTACCAAAGATGGAAAAAGGTAAGTGTATTTTATTTGTAATTGTTATTAACTTTCCTATGCTGCATTCTATATAATGGTAATTTTCACTTTAATGCTCTAACTTGCGTCTAAAAAACGCACCGGTACACCGGTACTAAGTAATTTGGTGGTATATTATACATATACCATAACTATGGTAATTATGATATTTCTAGAATATACTAAAATATATCTGCATCTAAAAATTATGGCACAGTAGTTATACAACTTCTGGTATTATAATCTACATTTAAAAGTTATGGTTCACCTTAATCTAACAAATTATGGTACTTATACTTCTGGTATAATTACTACAGCCATGATTATTATACCATGGTACTGTATGTACCATAAATATGTGGTCATATTCTAACCTACATTATGGTAACATTCACATATCCACAGGTACAGTACCATAGTTGAGGTTTAGCCGAATGGTGAGGTGATGAAGGTTTAGGTGAATGTCACACTCCACACGGGTGTAACATTCGCCACATTTACAGTTACCATAAGTAAAATATAGGTGTAGGGTAGAGTAGACTGTAGTAATGACCATATCTATGGTAATTTTTTAAATACAAGATTAAGAGAAGGGAAGCTTACCCAAAATTTCGTGCTCAGAATGATTAAAAACATATACAACTGTACTGTACTGTACTTCCCTAGTCAAATTTTATGGAAAAAAAAAAAAATTGATTTTTCCTCCTCATCCTCCTGACCACGTGCCTCCCTAGAGGGATGCACTCAACTCCGAGAAGCACCAGTGTAGAATTTCCAAGTTATTATTATTATCATTATTATTATTATTATTAGTTTTTATTTTTAAAGCTAAAAATATAAAATGAAGTAACGATGTAACCATATATTCTACATTAAAATACTCCATTTTCTATTCTTCTACGTTCGATGCTGACGTCACTGATACTGACCGATAATGGTTTATCAGCAATGTTACCCTCTTATCTGCCTATTTTTTTTTTATTATAATTAAAATTGTGATTCATTGAACATTAATTCAATTTTCTTACACGAAGTTTTGCTGCAAACATTCTTCATCCCTCTTCTAAGATCGATGGCTTCTATGGAAAAATTAAATTATTAGAAATCGATGGATTTATATATATAAAACATTTTCTAGAATCAAGAATATATATATATATTTTATAAAATATTTTTTCGAATGAAATTTTTTTAAAATGAAGCACGTATTTATATATTTTAACTTCTATTTTTAGATTTACGTCGTTCTGAAGTTTGCTTGTGTGAAAGGTGCATATGCTGTAAGTCGTTGAAACGTACGGAAGTCGCATGCAAGGACTGTAGATGTAAAGCTTCCAAATGTGGTGGGGGCGAAGGTAAAGGCTGCCAGTCTTTAAAATGCAAGTGTGAAGACTTCAAGTGTTGCCAAGCTTCATCGTGCGGAGGGCCCACATGCAAGAGTGAAGACTGCAAGTGCTGCCAAGCCTCGACGTGCGAAAGGCCCGAATGCAAATGTGAATATTGCAAGTGCTGCCAAGTCTAGATACGAAGGACCCAAACACAAATGTCGTGCTACAGAATGTATTAAAAGTTGACATTAAAATATTACACATCTATTTACGAATATCAGTATAAATGACAAAAAAAAATATAGTCATAAACATTTAAGAATATTATAACATTCAAAGGAATGCCTTTATCAACTAATGAAAAATATTTATTTTTGGGAATATTTTAATGATAAATATCGTATAATTACGTTATTATTTAAACAAATATTAATTATACCATAATTTGTATAAAGATAACAACTGAAAATAGTCATGTAACCTGTTAATTCTTTAATAAATGACACATTTACGTAAAATCGTTTCAAAATATGGCTTCCTACCCTTCTGTACACTCGATGTAGGTTCGTCATGTGAACATTTCCATTATGCTTCAAAACAAGTGATTCTTTGTATTCTACGTATGAAAATTGATGCGATATGAGTTCAAATCCTATACTATGGGTTACACAAACCATATTTCAGGGGGAGAATATAGTACAGAACGTCTTTATAATTATGTTTTATATATTTTAACCTCGTTATCACCTCCTCCTAGTTAAATCGATTTAACACATCAAGCCGTAAACATTTTATAGATTTTTAACTTGTCTTTTAAAATCCTACATTTTTTTTACCGTTTAAATTAATTTAATTGAAAATTTTGTATTTCTCTTATATAAACACTAGAAAAAAATCAATTTATATACACCAGACATTACTAAGTAAATAAGAGGAACACTAGAAGTTTCGTGTGTATAATTGTTACAAGTGTCCATAAAACACTAGATTACATGTAAATTTAGCCCGTACACACAGAAATTTACACATTGACACTGGAAATATCTGTATACACTAAATAAAAATCGTGCGTTAAATGCAAAAATACTAAAAATATCTCCACGTATTTAAATTTTAATAATTGTTACAGGTATACATACAACATCGGATTGTACTCTACGTAAACACAAAAATTTGCATAGTAACACCAGACGTGGGTTGTTTATTAAATAAAATGCGTGTGTTTATGATAGTGTTAAACACGTAAACACAGGAAAGAAGAGTATGTGTATATATGATAAATCTAGATATTAACACTAGAGATATTAAAAATGTAGAATAAAAAAAAACGCAAAGACTAATAAAATTACACATGTAGAACATTAGAAAATCTCGAATATAGATACACAAACAAGAAAAAAAAAAAAAAATGTAGAAAAACACTAGAAGAGGCGCGTGCATAAGTTGAGAAGAATCCATCAAGCGTGCAATCTCTAGGCGAACAAAATGAATAAACACTATAAATATTAATCTGTTTAATTTCGTTAAGAATTAATGTGTTTTATGACGTTCTGTTTAATGTAAAGCCTTTATCACATTTAATTAAGCAATAATTTAGTAGATTACACATAAAACACAAAAAAATTATATCATAAAATTCGTCTTCAATCCTTCTAAATCAAAATTCATTCATTAGCCATTCGATCATTTCTCCTCTTATCGATCTTCGAAACGACTTCATACATAAAGCAGCATTCATAATATTAATTTCAAATCTATCGGGGGTGCGCATTATACATTAAAAACAAAAAAAGGATCAATAAAAATTATTCATACTTATTCTCTATTTTATTATTATTATTATTTTATTTTATTTTTTTTTTAAGAACACAGAATTGAATTTTGTAGAGAGTTAATCAACAAGGTATAGTATTTATTTAGGCACAATTTAAAAATTAAATTAGCAATTAGTCATAAATAAATAAAGCAAATCTTCAATTCTAAATGCCAGCATAATAAATAAATAAAACGCGCGCGCGCGTGTGTGTGTGTTAGTGTGTTGTGTTGCTTTTAATGTAAATAAAATATTCAGGATGATCTCCATGATTTGCATTTGTTAAATTTTACAAAAAACACAAGACTAATAATAATGGAAGGCTTTTATTTTTTTTCCATAATACAAAACGAATCTTGATATCATAAATGAATAAACAGCTCGGTTATAACTCAAAGCAGAAACATGTGTTACTATAGCAACAATAGCCCCACTGCCTTTGTAACAATTGTCAATAGTTGAAAAATTTAAGGAGCTTTTTAAATTCTTTATAATTAAATTTTTTCCTTCTACATTCCTCGTGTTTAAAATTAAAAATAATAATAATAAAAAATGAATAAATGAAATTAGTAGAAAGGATGTTTTATGATTTAGCTAATACAAGGATTCGACAGTTTGAATTTTTAATATTATTTGTTAAGCCAACAAAACTCGTGACTCGTCTGTATGTCGATCATCTCATAATGACAACAATATCCTCATATTTGTTTACTTAATTAATAATGTAAGTTCTAAAATATAATTTTCATTTTTTTTATTGGGTGAGCTTGTATTTTGTTTTTTCCTGGATTAATTCCAATATAAGTTGGCGGATTCTCGAGGGACCGCGGATAGAAATTGGTTTTCTTTTTTATTCTCGAATATATCAAACATTATACATTTTTATAAGGCTCGATGGAGACTCGTTTCTACATTCAAACCTTATAATTTTTAAAGGTTTTGTGAGTTTAACACGAATATTCTTATAAGAATTCCTTGTTTACGATAATTATGTAAGGTTTATAGTGTTTAAATATAGAAAAGTATGAAAAAATATGTATTTTTCGATTAAATTTTGTAATTTTTAGTGATTTTTTAGTTCAAAATACAGAAATCCGCTCTATTTTTTTTTCTCTATGTAAGTCGAAGAATTGACTTGCTTATTTAACCCGTATCTCTCGGTAAAATTAAAATTATATTTTAATATTCAAATCGCAAAACTCTTCCGATAATTCTATATTCGTATCTCAAAGCTCCGCCCAATATTGTTACGTCTTATAATGCAATCGCATTATAAGACCAATCGCATACTTCGAAATTCAAATCTCGAAACATTCCAGATAATTTCGTATTCATATTTCAAAGCTCCGCCCTATATTTCTCTATAAGCGACGAATTATCATAAGACTCCGCCCAATATTGTTACGTTTTATAACTCAAATCGCCAATCACATACTTTGAATTTCAAATCGCTTAACATTTAGGTAATTACGTATTCATATTTTAAAGCTCCACCTATAAGTGAAGAATTGTCACTAGACTCCGCCCGATATTGTTACGTTTTATGAAGAAAAACGCCAATCACATACTTCGAAATTTAAATCTCGAAACATTCTAGTAATTTCGTATTCATATTTCAAAGCTTCGCCCAATATTTCCTCGTTTATAACGCGAAGGACCGCCTAAACGCATACGTTCATTACAGAAAATGTTACGTTAATATTCGTAACTGTTACGCTTCCGTCCGACACTTTTTTCTTTTTCATTCGCTAGCACGAGACGATCTCGACACGTTGTAAGGTACCTTTTTTCTTTTTCAAAGGGGGGACACCCGCAAACCCACGTCAAAAGGGAGGGTGAAAAGACGGTTCCTCTCTAACAATTCACGAAGGTGGAGTGGGAGGATTTTTCCACCTGACGCATTGTTGTTTCGGCATTTTACAAGAGGCATCAACAAAATCCAGAATTTTGAAATTGTCAATATGGTAGAAGGATCGACGAGTAAAGACAGTTCGCGTGTATTGTTAAAAATGCATTTGCACACACGAAAAGCCAGTGTTCTTTAGCATACACGAATGTTTTCGGGCGAGGAAACTTCCGAATTCATTTAAATTAAAATGTTTTAATATAAAACTAGATGCACGGGGAGGATATTAAATGCTCCACAGTTTAATTAAACACATTTATCAATTCATCTTTAATTAACGGGTTCGTGTTTTAAAAACGTTATAAAGGCGAAACAGTGGAAAATTCTCCACCTTCTTTTTCACAGCCACCTCCTTGCATACCTCTAGGACACGAATTTGGTCGGAGGGGGCGCCAATGAGCCTATACCCCGAAGCACAAACAATCCTTTCTGCTAAACAAGGGCGAATACATAAATTCAATTCTTCCCCTCCTCACAAAAAAAAACCCAACGAGCATGCTTAAGAGTACAAAAGGAGGAAGTGTGAGAGCCTAGGGAAGTCCCTAATAATTATATATGTCTCTAGGTATAACGGTAGTCACGCTCCTTCGCGCGGTAGTGGAGCGTGACGTCACACCCGTTTGGGATTCCAACTTTTCTGCACCTTTACGAGTTCATCAGAGCTTGTTCGGAATTCCCATTTGAATTTTAAATTTCGTTTCTCGGACGGAATGACGTCGGCTCTCGAATCTCGTAAGAATTCCCTCGGCCGAACTCGAACCCACAAATTTAAAAAATTTGTGACGTAACGGCAGGCGAGTGTTTCGGCTAACGAAAACCAACGTAACAAACAAAAGTTCCACCTTCCGGTTACGATCGTCGTACGTAACGCACGCTTTACCGTTTTACGACGTTAATTAAACAAAGTTAATTAATTACTTAATAACAGCTTCTGTCGTTGGATGTTTTCCGAGTATGAAATATCGATTACGTTAACGGCACGGAAATTTCCCTAAAAATAAAAAAAAAGCGTCGGGAACGGAGTAGAAACGAGATGGAAATCATCGTCGGTAGCGCGCTTCGTAGGGAATTATTAACATTTAATAAAACCATTTTCCCTAAACGGGGGGGAAAATTTCTCCGTTATGTGGGGGATAATTCCCTGCCCGTTACGTAACGCCTGCCGGTTAGTGCGGCATCGTTCCGCCAGATGGCACGAGCGTTGGCAGGAGACAAAAGAAGGAATTTGACACCCGAACCGACCAATCGGATGGCAGAGAAAGCTTAACCGCGGGTACTGGATTTGCCGACTCGAAAGATTTGAATTTAATAACCGATTTAGTAACGTTTACAGAAGTAATGTCGGTTTATCTATAAGTTATTTAATCAAATATGAATTGATTGATCGGAATTGGCCAGTAGATCCGGACATTGGAGAAAAGCGCGTGAGCGAGAGCGCGTGCGATTGCCGTCGTTTGGTGTTCAAAACAACATGGCCGACGGAGCGAAGATCGTCTGACGGGAAACATCGAACCTACCCGACGACTTAACGAGTTAACGGTAAGTTAAAACGTCATCTCCCATCGATATTTAATCATTCGAAACACTTATAAATCCCGGTTACGTGTTTAAACCAGCCTTTACGGCTGTTACGTAACGCATTTTAGGCTTAAGAGGGTTCCCGCGTCTCCGTCCCGTTCGTCTGTTTTTTTTTTTTCTCTCTTCCTCTCCCCCGTCGTCTGGACCCTCTCCGATTCGAGACGCTGTTTTATTATTATTATTTTACTTATTGATTTTTATTATTAAACATCGCGGGGATGGCCATTTTTAATCGCCCTCCGCGCTCTTAACCGACGCTAATTTTTCGACTGGTGCTCGAAATATGGAAAGCCATCGATCGAAATTTCGCCATAGAACAGATACTATCTCAAAAATTCTAAATCGCTCCTCTCCGACGTGCACGGCATCGCCGCTTCCTTCACGTTGACAATGTGCTCGTGCCACCCCCGAAAACATTGTGAACGTGTCGTACGTCACCCCCTCCACTCGGCCGAACACCGAAAATTCCAGGCCTAAACATGCCCGATTATATATAAATTGGTTAAAAAACACAACACGCAAATTCCGCATCCGTCAGGTAATTTGTCGACGAAGACGGTGACAAAAAGCCCCCGAAAATCTACTCGAAAAGTGATAAGAACTGGATGATAGGATGGATGATGATGTATGTAATTTGGGATTTGGATGAGGGTTTGTTGGTGAAGATGAGATTCTTTTTTGAAAAATATATCTTTGGTGTTTGATTACTTGGTGTTAAAAATGGAGTATTTTTGAAGGTAAACTGATTTTTTAAGTGGTTTTAGAATGGGAGGAAGACCTGTAAAATTAATCGTTTGGTGAGTGATTGCTGGTGAAATGATGATAAAATTTAAGTATTGTTTGATCATTTGGTAATATGATAAATATGATATATATATAATATGTAAACAAAATTTCAATTGTTGTTTTTGTTGATGAGTGTAATTCCAGAGTAGAAAGAGAAAATTAATTGAGAAGAATGATGATTTTTTTTACATATTATTATTTTTACACACTCGTGTATTAGTAAAACAGAAAGGTTTAAGAAATAAGCTTCGTTGATGAGTACATTTTCCAATTAGAAAAGGAAGTAGAAGGATAATTTGGAAGAAGTCGGGCGCTCTTTTTCGAACAATTTATTTATCATCATCATCATCCTGAAAGAACGAATAACAAAACAGTTTGTTTTTGCCGGTGAACGGTATATTTTTAATGTTTGGAGAGGGATCCAGTCGGAGAAAAACAAACGAAATCTTAAAAATTTAAATTGATACCGGAATTGTAATGATGTAGGTTTGGGGAGGATTGCACTCTGCAGAAAGCAATGGTCTTAAAAATTTAATGCTTATTGGTCGAGGGAGTGATATCGGAGGAGGGAAAAGATTTCACGAAATTTTAAATCTTCGATCGCTGATGGAAATAGATAAAATCACTCAAAAAAGTTAAAATTTTCGTACGGCGAATCCTATCAGTCAGATTAATTAAAATTAATATATAAATACGAGATTTAAATGGTAAAATGTTTATACAAATCTTGAGGTTAGCGGGAGAAGAACGAGTTTGATAAAAAGAAATTTGTAAACCCATTTTCCTCGGTTGCGAGTTCATTATATTTCTGGTTAGAAGCGAATTTAAACTGTTTGCTTATCCTGGACCTAATCTCATCATTTTACATCACTAGGCCTTGGCTTTATTCGTGGACATACAACAGATTTACGCGTTACAAGATAAGTTGGTTACGCAGACTTATAATACAGCGCGTAACGCCGTTATAACGGTGGTAGAGTGGCCAGACACCGGCGTTTTCTTTTTCGGGCGAGGGTAATACGAATTACTGTCTGGTAACATAATAAACCTCTTTGTTATTCGAAAACGATTACGTCAATTTCGTCGGGAATTCGGTAATTGTCAGTCTGGACCAATTGTTTAAAGAGAAAAATGTCGATAGAGCCATTTTCAGTATTGTTATTGTTTGGGGAAATTTCCCGCCTCGGTAATTATCGGCGAAGGACATTTCGGAAACGTGGTAAACAACAACTTTCTGGGCCGGTCCGGCGGACAAAAGAGGCTCTTGTGCGGATTCTTTCTACCGCCAAAGATGCGTAATGGCGTCGTCGTTTATGCCAAACGTTTCGAGTTTCGAAGGCCGGGAAATTGTTGCCACAGGTGGTCCGTAACACGGAGACAGTAATGGCCATCCCCCCTTTTATTGTACGGGCTACGGATAACCTGTTGATAAGAAGTGGAGGGGGCGCAGGCGAGAGTATCAAAAAGAAACGGCCAGAGAAGAAGAGAGGAAAGAAAAAAAAGAGAGAGAGAGCGATGTTGCTATGCTAAGATTTATTTTGGACGCAATCGATCGGATGAAATTGTACGCACAACAGAACGCATTTCGTCTCTCTCCCATCGTGTAACGTTACGCTTTACGGTATAGAGAGTAACACGAAGGGGTCGTGTATAATTCACACGATTTCTCAAGGTTAATTGTAATCGGAAATCATCGGTTGGTTTTCGAATTTTTAGCGGTTCCGACGGACACTCCGCATATTTGCGGTGGAGGTCTGATAGAATCTCCCGCGAGGTTTCGGCGGGGGGTCGTTTCGAGCGGAACGGTAGCGAGGAAGAGGCGCGACCCACCATCGAGTCCGAGAGTCGTCAGCTATAAAGATCGCACCCACGGCATCACCACTTATTTTTTTTTTTTTTTTGCTACGGTCGATCGAATCGGATCGTTTAACGCCTCCGCTACGGATAGGAATAACCGCAAAAATGACCGGAAAAAAGAAGAAGAAAGCGATTCTGTGACGTTATCGGGTTTCGGAGTCCGGCGACGCGAGTCTGTCCGCGGTCAAGTTCACGGATGTTTGCCTCCCCGCTCCGCTCCACCCCGAGATGATAGCCATCTTCGTTACAACCGTTCGGTAATCGCCGACGCCCCGGGCCGTAAATTAGCCACTTTTACGTCGGGAAATTTGCGCCCGACGTTAACCTTTAGCCAATAAAAACGCTCGTTTTACGAATCGCTTCGGATTATGGCTAGTAGCCGGCGAGCGGCGTTAATGGCTCCGTAACCTCGCGGGTCTTAACATCCTTGACACCCTTTCCAGACATTAAAGAGGAGTTCTGGCGTTTTACGCGCATTTTAACGTTATTTACTTAACCGACGCGATTTTCAATTATCCTCTTAACTATTGTTATCTGAGGCAATTACTCCCGTATTAAAAATAAAGCGTCTCGCTCCGTTCGCCTTCTGTCCGTAACGCCGTAGCCTAGACATTGAATCTGGTTTGGGGAACGTTATCTGGAAAAAAAGAAGAAAATCCAGATAAGATTAAACGCTAAATCTGTATTTTATCGCTTTTCCTTTCGATAAATCGAAGCGTGTGTTTATAAATAAGTTGGAAGATGTTACGCTCGACCGCGACGTTTTCCCAGGGTTGAAGGTAATTTTAACAATTTAAATTCGAGAAATGTGCGGTTTATTTATTTATTATTATTTTTTAAAATTAATTTCCGTACGACAGAATTTTATCTATCGATATTATAATCGATAATAACGGCGCTGGGCATTTGCCTAACGAAATTTGATTTGGCTGGAGTATTGCTAGTCGTTAACGTCTGCTTATGGCAAAAGCAGATAGCATCTTAATCTCTCTTTGTTTCTATATTTAGTAAGTCGAACCGTGTATTTTACATTACCACTTTAAACCACTTTAATACGGTAATATATCCGGGAATGGTTATATTTATTAAGACGTGTTATAAATCCCGACCTTACTGGACGGATTTCGAAGGATGTTTGGCGAAAGGAAGAAAGAATAATGGGACAAAGAACTCGTTATTCACTTCATTTATATCAGTTATGTCAGTCGGGCGTCAAAGATGCCGACCGGTTCCAAATTGCCAGGAATTATCCTTCCGAACCTAGGATATATGCCTAAAATAAAGGAGTTACGTTAATTAAAAAAAAAACGAAAAAAAGAAGGACTTCTTCCGACGAAGAGAGGACATTTCCGTTTTAGATCGTTCGGAAAAATCCGGCCGAAGCTACAAACAGAGAGTAGAAGAAGGAAAAAAAACCCAAACCATTAAGAAACAACGGGAACAGATTATTTTTCCATAAACGAACCTTCGTCAGCCTGTTGGTCGTGCGGAAATAGCGCATGTGTGGATTCTCTTCTACGTCTAGCGGCGGTGTATTTATTGATCAAAACAGTCGTACTCATTTGTAACGGGCAGGATGGATTGGTGGGCAAAGAGGAACCCGTCTCGGGCCGTCGGAACGTATGAAAATTGACATTTTCCACCTCCCGCGCGACCCCGCTTACGTCATTAACGTCGGGAACATGTCCGCGCCAGGTAAGTGGTAGCGCGTCGCCGATCCTCTACACTAGTTACGTCGAGTGCAAAACGTTATCGCACGCGGCTGGGATTGGGGGGTTCCGATGGCGACCGATCAATTCATCAACTAATGATAACCAATCCCCGTCTCGGTCGCCATTCTTTCCCACCGACGACGATGCCCCACTTTGATCGCACGGTGCTCCCGACTCGCTAGTTGTTTCTGTGTGCAGTTTTTTTTTCTTTCATAACTCGAGCCAGTTCTGTGTAGTTGCTAAGTGGATTCGACGTTGTTTGCCATCATGCCGACCACACGAAGGGGCGTTATGTGAGTATATTGTCCGTTTCCTCTTAATAGTGACTTTACGATCGCCAAACTGTTAGCTGTAGGCGATAATTATTACAAACCGGAGTAGGAAAAAAAAGGACGTGCGAACTACCCGACATTCTACTTCGGCATTTAAACTCGGAGATTAAAACTAAATGGCGAATTTTCAGGGCGTGGTTTTCATATTGTTTATTTAGTACGATAATTACTGCGTTTTTTTCTATTTTTTTAAATGTTTACTCTGTTAACCTGCGCGAAAAAATTACCGCTTACGTAGCCATTTTTAACTGGAGTATTGTTTTTATTGCTGGTCGTAATCGAATTTCCGTTATTTGTTAACGAATCGTAATTACCCGTTAACATAGGAGGACTCGTTAATCGTGTAAGCAAATCTACGATGCTCGAGGATAAAGGAATTAAAAAACAAAAAAAAATGCCGAACAGAGTTATGATTAATGCGAAATTGTAATATTTGGAATGACTGGAAACGTGTTTCTGTGCTGCCAACCGTATCTTTCTCCTAGTTACCGTGTTACCATGAAAAACAAGATTTTGTAAACATTACTTCGAATGTTGCCAGCAGTCATTTTTTAATTTAATTAATCTGATGAAGTTAAATATATAAAATTTCGAAGTTTTAGTAGATATGCAGAATTTAATTTTGTGTATAGTTTCAGTAATGCTACCTGTAAATATAGGAATTTGTTTTTTGATAGATAAATTAGTTTGTTTTTTATTTAATGTATATTTTGTATAATTTTATTTAAAATCTTGATTGGAAACGTTTGATAAAATTGTCTTTACTGGTGCCATATATGTATTAAGTTTGTTGTAATTACAGTCATGTTCTATTAAAAATTAGCATAATTAAATAGCAGTTTAGTTTGAGATTATTGAAAATAAGAGGTTTGAATAGTCTAAATGTGATCTAGTAATTTGTATTAAGTTGTTGGCTTTATTTATGTAAATTTTTTAATGATTTAAATAAGAAACTGTGCGAAGATTGGTGATTGTTTGAACGAAAACAATTTAACAAGCAATAAAGACGTATATAATCTGTAATGTTTATGATAATTTAATTGTGTTTTGGCATGGTCTGATTTTTAAGGCCCATACTGTAAGAATACGATTAATCGACTGTTTGGCTCGTCTTGTGGCCTCCTAAATTATGCCTTTGTGACTAATCATGAGATTTCTATATATACATCATATTGATAAAAGCTTGTGTACGTTTGTGAGATGATTTTCCGATCGGAAAGTTTCAGATAACAAAATTGTAAGTGGATGTTGTTGACTTTTTTTATGCTATTAATAATTAGAAAAGAAAGATTCGTGTTCCAGACTTATAGTTAACTCAATTATTTTGATTAATGGATTGTAGAGGGAATGTAATTAAAGTGAAAAACTGGTTTCTAAAATGAAAAAAATGATGATGATAATGTCTTGTCAAACATTAAACACATTATTTAACTGATTTCCAATGAAGCAGTGATGCTGAATGGGGCAACTCACTTTTGCCATTCTGTTTATTTCAAGGAGTGATGTTTTCTTTTCTTAATTGTTTGTTGTATTAATTCATAAACTTGGTAATATATGTTTTATATTAATTTGTGTAAGTGTATTGAGTTATGATTATTTTAACGCTCTCAATTTATTAACCTAGTTTAATATATATATATATATAATCTTTGTGATATATAAGACCTCTATATTTTAATATTTAAAAAATATATAAAAATTTTAAAATTAATCATATTGAATAATTATGAATAGGCAAATGAAATGCAAAAAAAAAAAAAAATCTTCAGTAATGCAATATTGATCTTTATAATGGTATGTGTTTATAAGTGATATATATATATATATAGAAGACATTATCTGAAATTTTGCGTGTTAAAAAATATTAATAAAATTATTGACAAATTTTATGTAATTCATATTGATTAAAATAGTAATTCTTGTATAGGTATATAAATGAGTCTCTTACAGTATTTTTGAATTACATTAATATTGTGTGCCATTTTCATGTTTATTCATAATAATTCTTATATGATGATAGTTGTACAATATATAAAATTAAGCTTTCAGATGTATGACGTGGTGCAAAAGTCAGTTAACAATCATAAATTCACAGTTAGCTGACTTTTGGCCCATTCTGCGCATCTAATTCTGATCATAATATTGCACTATATCTTTAAAAAATTAATTCAATATCTCCTTAATTTGAAATTATTTTGTTTATTTAAAATTTATTTATATAATTTTAATATTTTTGGCTCTGATTGTTGGATAAAGAGTACATCATTTAAATTTAAAGATTATATCTGTATAATAACGTTAATTTTTTATTATGAAAAGTGGATTTATTTATTAAAACAAAAGTAGAGTAGATCAAAGATTGGAGAATAAATATAAAAATTTTGAAAGATAACCTTGTACAGTCTTATGTTTTAAGTAAATAAGTTTACTGTACAGTATTTAATTTAGAATGTAGTGAGTTTAATGAACTATATATTTCTAAATAATATTAATATCTAGCAATTTGTTTATCAAGTGTTAGTATTATATAATATACCTGTATGTTAGATAATACTTACCAAAGGTCTATCCTATTATAACTGCAGAAACCTTCAAATTATAATTCATATTTTTTCCTAAATTGGTTTCCAAAGATTAACTATTTTGAAAACAATGATATTTCTTAAAATATATCTTTTGTTCTTAGATAGCTTTTTATTGTTTCTGTTGATTGTAATTTTGTGTTTGCCTTCAAAAATTGTTTTTAAAAAATTATTTCTAGCAGAATCTAAAAATAAAAATAGTATATATTTTATTATTTCAATGTAATTAAAAAGATGTCTTGATATTCTTATATTCTCCTTTAAAGGCAACTTGTTTTTTATGAATTAATGGGAATGGTTATTTATAGAATTTCTTGATTAAAAAAAATAATTGTTTTCCACTCTTCATTTGAATTGGATAATATGTTCTTTTATATCAATTTGATGTCTTTTTTTGAATATATATTGTAAAATAAAGGATAAGAATGTCGGATTAATGCATAAAGATATATTTTTGGAACTTTAGACAACAAAAATTTAATTTGTTAAATATACAGTAAACCATTGATTGATTTAGTGGACAAAAAGTTTCTTTCTGGTAGGAAAACTTCTAAATCATTTTATTTGCTAATAGAGTATGATAAAAGGTTGGTTTAAAGAGCCAATAAGTATAAATTATTCAATGTATATTATAATATTATTTTATTCGTACTTAACTCCTGTCTTCCACATATTAAGTTTGTTATTAATATGTTAATAAAAATTATTCGATTTTAACAGTTTTCGGTATTAGCGGACACCCCTTCCCCAATTAGTCCATTTAATCGAGGGTTTAATGTATTTAAACTTTATTATGATACCTAAATTTTAAATTATAACCTATTAATCTTTTTTGATAATTTATAAAGTGAAGGGCATCACTGGAATGGCTTAATTGGCAATGTGGATTATGTAAAATGTCAATTTGAAAACTACCTTCCAATGTTAAAATTAAAAAAAAATTGAGCCATTAAAATGAATACTTAATAAATAGTTGAAGCATTTTGTTATGACAAAATAACTTCTTTAGGAATCATGAATAAAAGAATATTTGTTCATTCTATTCACAATTCTTGAAGAAATTATTTTGTAGTAATAAAAATACTAAAAATGTTCATAAAATATTCATCTTTAATTACTTATATATTGATTTTAACATTGGGAAAATGATCCTAAAAGTTCATCTTGCTATTATGGTAAAATATCTAATTGTAAAATGTTTATAATAATTTTTTATAATTGTTAAAAATTAAAATTCGTTAGAATTAAAAAAACTTAAATTTAAAATTTTATATAATTAAATTAATATTTATTATATAAAAACTTTTAACTTTATCATTAATTTTTTTAGAATATATTTTATCATATTGCTTTTATTCAGTTTAGATATCAGTTGTTTTTATTAGATTATAGGTTTCTCATAATCTTACTATATTTTTAGATTTATATAAGTCATTTAATGAAAAATTATATAAAGTGGTAAGGTTATATAATTTATAATATTGATTTTCTAATGTTTCTGTACAATTGCTTTCTGTTCAAAAGCAACCTGTCCAGTTCTTTTATCATTGTATACGTATTTGTCCATAAAGTCACGAATCAACAGAAAAACACTTATTTATAAGGATGGCTACAATTGTTTGAAATGCAACTCAATAAACTCAAACAGTATTTGTAAGCAGAAAAGCAGGTTCTTTTGAATGCTGTGCTTTCCCAACAAAAAAATGATTAAATATAAATCATGAATTGTAGAGAAAGATTCTATTATTTGATTTGGAAGGCTATCTGCATACATCATTTTAATTTTTTACTGGCAACATTGATGATTTGTTATAAACAAGTTTATTATGTAATTTTGATTCAAGTTTAAAACAAAAACAAAAATTATATATATGATTTATCTTATATTGAAATTGCATAAACAATATCTGTTGCATAATAATTGATGTGAATCTGCTTTTTGTTTGTATTATACAAAGTTCCATTTCAACAGTAGGTTGAATTATTGAATTTTTAGATGCACGTATATTAAAATCAATTAAAGTGATAGAAAATAAATACTAAATGACATAAATATATTATCTCTCTGT